TCACTCAAAATGTTCGCTCGTAAATTGATCTCTCGTAAGGTTTGCAGACCGACCCGTTCCGAAAACGCTTAATGTCCTTTAGTGTTGGTCTACCTCGAACGGTGTGTTCGTTTGTATAGGATTTCATCGCCCCAGATATCATGGAATCCGTGCTAAATTTTCACGACAACAACTTCTGTTCCATGTGCTGTATGCATGCACAGGTGACGCATGCGCCTTAGAGACCAGACGGCGATTTGAGACTGAACGAGGAAAAAAAACCGAAATTTAAACCCAGGCCTCACTGCTTGGGTAATAAGATATCCAAACACAGTCATACACCTTATTCCAAAATGGCCGCAATTTTAGTATTCTTTTGTTTACTTGCAAATTAGTCCTTGTTGCCTCGTTCTTAAACTCGAAATTCAAAAGAATATTTTCCCTTAAACGAGGCAACAAGGGCTAATTTGCAAGTAAACAAAAGAATACAAAAATTGCGGCCATTTTGGAATAAAGTGTATGATCATGGTTTCCTTTGTTTGAACTTAATGAATCATTAATGAGTTTGAGAAACACTTTTCTTAAACTCCCTATTGATGACTAGTAAGACGTGTGAACCAAAATAGGGCGAATAAATGCTGTTGAACCAATCCTCTGAGTGGTTCATATTCATACTCCATCACTAAAAAAAAGTGTCTTCCATGTTGACGATAAGAATATTATTTTTACTCTTTGAATTATTTGTTGGCCATAGGTGAAAAGAAAAAGAAAACATTCGAAGTAACGGCTAGTTTATCAATCCTATTTGACCACCATGTTCAATAACAAGATGAAGCATTTTAGAAATAGCTCGTTAAGCCTTTGTTTCCTGGATGGTGTCGCCAGAAACCGCAGTTCTGTTTTCTACGGAGTAAAATTTTGATTACTTCAAGAAATTAAAATAGCACTTTCCCTGAAGATGTGTTAAATCATATTCCCAGAGGTCAAGAGTTAATAGAATTAATAGTGATTAATATTAATCCTCCAAGGTGGCGCAACCCGACGACGATGTTAAACTGCAGTCCTTCTCAAACTCATTCATAATTCATCAACTTTGACAAATCATAACTGATGGTGTTTGGACATCTGATGTTCATTAGCATAGATTTTTACGATTTTTATTCTCGATCTTTCCCTAGCTGTATTTTTGACAAATTAGAAGGTATAGCAAACACTCGAGACAGTGCTTTACCACAGTTCTAATTACCTCGACTTCTGTGATTTCATCTTTCTTCAAATGGTCCTTTCTTAGAGATGGTAAAATTCCCCATGAGACATTATAATACCTTTTCAATTTGGCAACTCCGATTTTTCAGCTGTGTAATGTGTAACCTTGCCCTGCATTATGTTATTTACAGTTTCGACTGACTGAATAAATCCATCAACCAAAAGAAAATTAAGGTTGTTAATTATTATGCATAAGACATTTCAATAAGGAATAATAAATTCATCAAAGACACTATTTCCAATTTCTTTTATTTTGAAGATGTGCGATGTACAATTTTTGGTATTTCTTATTATTACACAATGACTTTAATACCTTCCACAATTTTCACAAGAAATTTGCAACAAGGACACCGTAAAAATTGTTAAACCTTGTTGTATAAGCAGAGTCTTGCAGATCAGCACTAGAAGATTAGTCACCTTATGATATGGATTGCTTTTGTAAAACCATTTATGAACCTTCCTTTTCAAAAGCGTAAGTTAGAGCCGTTGTCTCGCTAGTTTTACCTCCAAATTAATTGTTTCAGTCCATTTCGAATGTCGCTCATCCTCCAAAGGTAAATAAGAGGATTTAGTGCAGAAGACAAAAACACAGAATTCAACGACATTACATAAACTAGCTCTACCACAGGGTGACTTTTAAGAGAACGATAGATTCCGAAAAAGACAATAAAAGGCAAATAACTAAAGTAAAATAATAACACAATGTACAGAATAGAAAACACAGACTTCTTGTATTTTGCCAAGTTTATTGTCGGTTGACCTGAAATCTGACGCGTTTCTCTGGCTTGGACTTGTTGTTGGTGACTTCGAATAATTTGGAAAACCTTAAAAGAGGATGTCGATATGGCAATGACACAAAGCAGTAACAAGGCGAAGGTAACTGTCAAGACATGTTCATAGCTACCCGTTAAGATGTTTAACGCACGAAACACAGAGATTGGGATCGGAACGAGAACTATCCCAGCGACAATAAAACGTGCTCGACGCTGAATAACCAAGAATCTCCGCTTCATCTGCAACCATCTTTCAATCGACATGCATGTGAGAATCAGGACTGTCACGTATACCAAGTAACTTCCAAAGCCACCAGTGATTACCCTCGCTAAAACGAGAAACGTTTGGTCGTCTTCGAGTTCGTGGGGCCCCTCTGAACAAATAAACTGGGATGCAACATAAAATGGCTGAGTGATAAGTCCTGTGGATAGGTCTGTTATAGCCAATCCACAAAGGAACATGTAGAAAGGAGTTCGCAAAGTCCGATTCCTCCAAATTACTGCCACAATTAAAGCATTTCCTGCCACTGTTATTGGCGACAGGACAGCAATTACTATTGAAAGTGATAAAACTACTTTGTCATAAGCAGGATTTTGTTTCCTGTCCGTCACACCATCAAAGCTGCAAAGGATGGAGACGCTGGTGCTGATCGCCATCCGTGATTACTGCAACTTGCTCTTGGCAAGAAACTTGTTAGATTATATAGAACTGCTCAAAGTGCTCGCCTACGACAAGGATGCCACTTTTTTTCTGCTAGACATGTACTATAAATAATTTCCTAAATGAAAATGATCTCTGGGTGTGGAGGTTTTCATCTGCACTTTCTAAATAAAATTTTTGATTGATGCATCGATTGATTGGCTTTTTAATTGCTTACAATAAGTATCATGAATTAAAAGTGTCGTTTGGTTTTTCATTTGATGAAACTCTGATACTTTTCTTTCCATTTACGTGGGATTATCTTCCCTAGAAAGAAAAGGAAAGGTATTTTAGCCCCGTTCCATAAAAAGAGAACAGTTCAGTTAAATTAAATTTTTGAAGATTGAAAGATAAGTAGAACAAAAAGTTCAATCATTTTTCTTCTCGGTTGTTAAATCAGCTGCTTTACAATACAAGTCATTTGATATTTCTTTTAATTCAGTTTCGCAGAAAACAGTCAGTGGTTTACTCTTTAGCCGCACTTCTGAAAGAACCTCTCCAGTTGGGTAACAAATTTTAGTGGACTCATCTTTGATTTTCATCAGAACTAAATTTGTCTTTGTTCCGAATTTATCCGTCAGGAATCATTACAAAAAAAAAAAAAACAACTCTACAACTTTTGATTAATTATCTCGGAAAAATGCGTGGCTACCCCAGGTTTTCTTTGTATATTCCAATAGCCCTTGCAAAGATCTACTTTTTCCGCGTGGTCCTAACCTGGCGCAAAACCCTTTGTATTTAGTAGGCACCGTCCTTAATTAATTAAATAACTGCCTAATAACTGCGATATTGGAAATAGTAGTGCTGACACTTCATCCTAAATAGTAGTGCTTACACTTCATTCACAGTATTTCCATTCATGAAACCGTAATAAAAGTTTCAACTTTACAGCCACCAGGAGAGATAGCTACGCAGAAGGGGGCTCATTCATACTCAAACGTAAGAACAGCAAATTTGACTTTAGAAGTGGAAGGATCAAGTTATGTCCATACATCGGCTTTAACAAGGCATAAGCCAAGCTAGAGATTAAAACTTAAGATTTCATCACAAGTATCAGTGGTGTTTCCATGTTGGTTAACGTCACGACTTCAGTTAGAAACATTTTTTGCAAAACTTGGCTATATGCATGTTTTCTCTGCATTGCCTTACAGATTAGTTGCTAAAACAAATGTTTTACTTCGTTACGAATATCTTTCATACTGCAGAGATAAATAAGAGGGTTGACTGAAGAAGACAGAAAAAAAATACAACCGTAATCTTTTGATCCCATTCTAATACACAATAATGATAATAAAGAAAAGAAAATCCGTTTTCAAATTCCTCCGACTTAGTGTGGACGGGGTCGGACAGTATTGATTAAAAAAAACATTCAATGATACTCTCGTAAATGAAAAAAATATAATACACACGCAGACATTATACTTCATTAGGTCTAGTAAAACCGCTGGCTATCAAAGATCACGGCTCACCCAACAGTGGTCATCGTCGTGAAGGAAAACCATGTAAGGTCGCCAGTCCCTCTTAAAAATGAGTGCGAGAAATATTCAGTTTTGTTTCTTCTCTCCTGTTATTGGAAAAAGAAACTGAGATTAGTTGTATGCAAAGTACGAAATCTTTAGCTCATCGTGCAAGGGATGATTAATCCGTTAATTTGAAAACCACAAGCCCAACACTATCGGTTGTTACCAATTTTAAAAAAAACACTCCAAAAAAAGGGGAAAAAAGAGCGCTGGCTCTTAGAGTAAAGTGTTCTTGTGCGCCTACATCTCGCCCTTTGGTGCGAAATGTAAGTTCGTACACTAGTAAAAGTGTGCACTTGCAATTTTGTACTACGGCAACTGTTACACGTTCTGGTGTAAAGTGAATACAGTTAACAAAAAATAAAATGAAAAAATAAAACTTTAACAGAATTCGCACATTTGTAGCAAAAATGAAGTGCATTTCCTTGTAATTTACTGGACACTATCTGCACTCGGTGGTTAATTGCTTACGAGGTGAGCATGATCAAGTCGCTGTTCCAGTTTTACTCCCAAAGGTCTTATTAAGGGACTCATGCGAACGATCGTTGCTACGAGCTAAAGGAAGCCAGCCGTAACAACGGGGTTATTGCATGCACGCATGAACAAGGTGTACGTAAAAGGGAATTCTATCTAACCGCGCCCTTTAAATGTCCATTGAAAGTATTTTGGATACAGCGTGCGTTCCGTCAAGGAACTCCGTAGGGGAGCTAGGTGACGGTTTGCATATCTTGAATATCTTGCATATCTTGAAAATTTTTAAGTTCGTCGTTTGCAATCCGTTTTAGTCACCTCCATCCTTAACCACCCTTGTCCCTTTATGTTTTATCATTATCTCTTTGGTGATTTTTTTATGTTAGAAAACTAATATTTTAAAAGTTATTTCATAAGTGGCCAAACTTACTTAAAATACCGTGACTGACCTCCTTTAAGACCTATTCTTTTCCTTTGTAACTTATTTTAAGTGGATACTTACCGCGATCCAGATCAGCACTGCGACAATGAAGCCCATCACCACAATCAGGAAAACAATAGGCCAGCTCCTATTCCACGTCAAGGCGACAACTTCCGTTCTTGACAACTGGCTGGCCAATGAAATAAATGCGATTCCCGGTGACTGAACCACAGGAACGAACACAAATTCCTT